TAATTATTATTTATTTATTATATANANATATATATATATATATATATATATATATATATATATATATATATATATATATATATATATATATATATATATATTAGTTAAAAAGTCATTAAATGGTTACAATAAATAAATTAATTAAATTTTTATTATTTTTATTTAAACAACAAAAATTATAATTTTTTTATTTAATAAGAATTAAAATAATTTATATAACAGTTTATATTTATTTCTATATATAAAATTTTAATTAAAAATAGTTTTAATCTTTTAAATTTATAAATGAAATAATAGATATAAATCTGTAAGGAAATAAAAAATTATTTATATAAAAATATATATATTTATTTAAAATATTTTTAATTTTGTATATAAATTATATCAATTTATTTATTTTCTTTGATTTTTTCTGTCTTTATTAATTCATATTTTTCATTCTCATCTTTTTAAAAAAATTTATACAATTTTTTTTCAAAAAAAATCATATTAGATTTATATTATTTTTTAAAATAAATAACTATATATATGGATTTAATTTAAATTTGTTTCCTTAATTTATTTAATTAAAATAAAATTTTATAAAGTTTTAAGTTTTTTTTTAATATTTATTAAACATATCTTATAAAATATTATAATTAGTTTAAAAAAAATAACTAAGGGAATTAATATATATATGAAGTAAAAAATAGAAAGAATTTTTTTTTTTCATTTGTATTAGTTATTTATAAAAAATTAAGATATAAATTAATTTATTTTTTCTAATATATAAAGTATTTTATTTATATAAAATATTTATAGATATTTTTAGAAATTATTTATTTAGATATATTAAAATAAATAAATAAATATATATATATATATATATATATTTAATATTATATTAAATAGAATATATTTAATTAATTATTATTAATGTTTTAAACTTTTTTTTAATTATAAATATACAGCTTTAATATATGATATAAAATAATTTATTATTAGTAAAATTATTTAATCATTTACTAAATAAAATGGATAATATTATTAATATTATAAAAAAAAAATATAGTGTTTATTTTTTTGATAAATTAGAGAATAATTTACCAATCTATTAAATTATTTATTTATTTTCAATATTAATAAAAATATTATTTTATTTTTAAATTTAAATTTTTCCTTATTCTTTATATAAATTTAGTACCAAAATTTTTTTTAATTTAGATATATTAATAAAAACAAATTTTTTAAATTTAAAAAAAAAAATAATTAAATTGTAAAATAATAATAAAAAAATTAATTTTTAGCAAGAAAAAAAAAAAAAAAAAAAAAAAAAAATATGCAAGAAAATCCAATATATTAACCTCCAGAAGATAGTGATTTTAAGTAAACAATTTAATATAAAAAACACAAATTCCGAGTAGAAATTCGACAAAAAAGATAATAATCATACCTAAAATAAAAACGTTAAATAAACTCTTATACAACCTCTAATAATTAGCAAGAAGCTATTTAAATAAATATTCCATTAATATAGGATTTCCTCTAAGAATTTAATAAAGAAAATCCCAATTTCAATTGTATATAAAAAACATTAAATTTAATACATTAAGCAACCATAAATAAAGAAGATTTATAAGAATTTATTCAAGAAGTAATTTTAAAAACAGAATTACCTTAAAAAATTCTTTAAATAATTACATGGGGAAGACAATAACCATTTGAAGTAAATAATTATAATATATATATATATATATATAAAATATCTTATTTTAAAATATAAATATTATATATTTTTATATTAAATTATTCTTATATATATTTGTGTATATATAATATATATATATATATAATTATTTTTAGATTTTAAATGTTTGTTATTCTATTGCCATATAAATAAGTTCTATATATAATTAGGATTTTTGTTATGATGCTTTAGATATATTAATTAAAAGAGATGTTTAAAATAATGAAATAAATAACGAAATTGATGTTTATTGTATATTTGAGGATTAAATAATAAATGATAATAGCAAAAATAATGAAATATTTTAAAAAATAATGCTTTTATTAGCTAATATAGCGGCTGAGAAAGAAAAAAGTATATGTAATTTAATTTTAGGGAGAAAATAACTATTTAGAATAATTTTAGAGAAGATTTAATAAATTAATAATAATTAACAAATAATAAATAATAATATATAATAGATTGAAAACAATATAATTGATTTATTAAAAAATATATCTTATCATTATTAGAATTATTAATTTTAAGAAATTTAATAATGTATAGATTTAATTGAGTATTTTTTATAGGAAGAGAAAATTTAAATGAAGATTGTTTAATTTAAATTTTAAAGACTTTTTAAAATTTTTTCTTGAGTTTTTAATAATGCTAGGAAGATTAATAATAGGAAATTATAGATTAGTATAGAGATATTTTTATTAAAATTAATATGAATATTTTAAATATTAATAATAATAATAATAAAAACATCAATTTTAAATTAATTAATAATTATTTGAAAGTTTATGCGAAAATTACACATTCAGAATATGATTTTATTAATACCTAAATTCTAGAATATGGGCTTTTAGATATTTTTGATTCTATCTTTAGTTTAGAGTCTGTAGAGAAAAAAACACTTGCAATTATTTTTGAAATTCTTGGAAATATATATGATTATAATTATTCAATTAATAATATATTGCTATTATTTTAAGAAAATATTAATATTATTAAAAATATTATATTTTATGCATGTAATAATTAAAATAAGAATATTAGTAATGCGGCTTTATGTACGCTTTCAGCTATTTGTACATAATGTGATATGTAATAGATTAATATTTTAGTAGATTTTGGGATAGTTAAAGGAATTTTAAGTTAAATTTGTAGCGATTTTTGTCAAGAATTTACTTAAAAAAGCATTTTAGAAGCTTTGTTTTATATTTGTAAGATTTAAAGAGAAAATAAAAATGAAAATGTAACTTTTTTTTAATAATTTCAAGAGATAGAAGGAAAAAATATAATTGATATATTAATTGAAAAAAATTCAAATAAAGAATTATTTAATTTATTAGAAAATTTATAAAAAATAATAGATGAGGAAATAAATAATAATTAATGAAAAAAAAATAAAAAAATATATATATATAGATATATAAATATATATATATATATATATATATATATATATATATAATTATAATTATATAATATAAATTATTTATTTTAATTTTAATTTTTTTAATATATTTTTTTTTTTTATATTATTTATTTTTCATGAAAAAGTAAAACTTTCATTACCTATTGTAAATGCAATATTAAATTTAAGTTAATTTATTCATAAGTTTTATAATAAGGTACTTCTAATGACCTAAAGCAAGTATGAGATAATGGTAATTTATTAATATTTAAAGAACTCTAGAATTAAACCGTTAATTAGAAATTTTAATAATCAAAAGGAATACTACTTGACCCTGTAATAAACTTCAAAAATCCTCTTAAATTTTCCTAATTTGCTTCGCTTATATATCGTTAAAATTAACTAATTAAAATTGAATTTCCGTCTATAAAATTAGTCAATTTTAGAAGCCTAAGACCTTCTAGTTCTGAGATCCCGCATGTAAATAGCACTAATTCTTAAGGAAGAATATTCTATAGAATCAATTTTGTATCAAATACTGTCTCAAAACCTTCTATTAGTGCATTTATGGCCTATTAGTATTATTTATAGATATAAAAATTAGCTATTTCTGTTAAATATTAGTCCAAATTAGATTTATTAACTTATATTTAGTGACCTTTATCAATTAAATCAATTATTTTTTTGCCCTTATTTACTATGAAAAATAATTCCATTTCCAAAAGTTAGTTTTCGTCAATAGTTTTTAAATAAAGATAATTGTCAAAAGTCTATTTATCAATTATATATTTCAAATGTTCAAAATGTATACTCTATTTACATAAAACAGTGTAAAAAGGCTAACAAAATTCAATACCTAAAAGCTATTTATATAAAATAGTATGAGCAAGGAATTTTCCGAAAATTCTAAAATATTTCAAAGACTACTTTTATATTTAACATTAGGGATGAAAGTAGTATTTTTCGTTTTAAAAATGAGAAAAAAATTAATAATTTGAGTCTTTGATTACTTTTCCAATTAACTCGTAAAATTCTCTCTTTAAACCGCCCCCATCAATACCTTATTCGGTATTAAAATGTATATATAATTATTATTTTAGGTTAAAATCTTCAAATTGTATTAGGAGTTCTTCAGTAAATTTATTTCTGTCTATATATATGGTCTTATATATAGAGGATTCGGTGGTTTATTGAAGAATATCGAAGAGTCTTTTTTTTCTTTGGTCAAAAGAGATGCCTTGAAGGTTAATTTTTATTTTTTTTAGAGGCAAATTATTTATTTTAAATTCGAGAAAAAATTCCGCTTTTTTCATTTGGTTTTTGATTTCTTAAGTGCTAAAAGAAAAAGAAAAGAAAAAGACTATTTTCCACTTTTTTGGTGTTTTTAGAATTTTTTCTCTATTTATATATATATAGGCATGTCTATGGGAAATAATTCTATTTAAAATTTTTTTTTTCGTTTTATGGGAAACAAGTATATGGATTTCCATAAAAATCATAAAAATAGGCAAATCCATTTACTTCTTCAAAAAAAGAAATTTAATTTTTTTCCTCTATTTCTAATAAAGTACTTTCTGGCTGTATTATATTCGATATTAAATATAGATTTTCAATTGAATTTTTCACATAAAAGCCGTTTATATACATTCTATAACAACCTATCGTTAAAGGTGAACGTTTGCAATAATAAAGGGTCTTTTATTGGTCATATTCAAGTTCAGATTTATAACAAATGTCAGGCAGTTTTGGTATATTATTTGGTAGTTTTTAACTTCTTGTGCAGATGGGATAATTTCGTTATTGAATATATCAAAGAATTATATATAGTCAGTTATATTTGTACCTACTATAGTGGAAGTTTCTTTATCAAAATTAGAGACTGTTATATTATTTATTTATTCTTGGTATTTTTTTTAGGTCAATTTAGGAATTGATTTGGGAGGTGATTTGGAGTTATTTAAAGGAGGTTTTTTACGTTTTTTTATAGAATTAGAATATTTTGGGTATATTTTGTTAATTTTTATGATTTTTTTTATGATTGATTTATGAAATAAAGGAAGTTTTAGATAAATCAAGTTTTTATTTTGAGGAAATTTATATTTTTAGTTTTTTTTTTTCAAGGTAATTTTAGGGCAAAAAAAAAGCGGAATTTAAAGCAGTTAATAAAAGCCTAGAATTTATCCTAGAAAATAAACTGAAAATTTAGATGTCCTGATTTATATAAAAACTCGAAATTTTTAATTGAATATTTATTTTCTTGAATTAGTCTTCCTCTATTAGTTTCCTACTTATTTAAATCTTCCCACTTTATATAAATTCCTTATATCTCTATATATATTAATTATTATTTATATATAGGTCAGGCTCATTTTATTATTATATAGTTTATATTTTCGAAAGCAATTTATTGATTTAAACACTGTGAAATTAAATGAAACTTTTTGCCAATTTCGAATAAAATTTCATCCTTTTCATCCAAAAAAAACTAGTTTTATTATATTTTTTCGTATATACGATGCTTTTTTGTACACACGAAATTCTCAGAAATATATGTATTTTCGTAAAAAATACATAAAAAATAATGACTATGTATTAATATATTATTATTTATTGGAATTTAGGTGTTAATTGATATGTAGGAGTTACTTTTGATTTTTTCAATGGAAATTATTTAGAGGGATATGTCAGTGTCTTTTTCGTAGAAAATATTCAAAGGTAACATTTTTATTTAAAGGCTTTTTTCGAGATAGCTTTCGGGGTAGTCTTCGTTGTAAAGATATTGATTTATTTTTAAATTTCGAGTGTTTTTATTATCTAAAAAACAGTCTTTTATTTCCAAAAAGTTTTTGTTTTTGAATAAAAATTATGGTTTTTAGTCTAAAAGTTCATTTAAATTTACTAAAAAAGGCCTTATTTTATAATTTATGAATACTTTTTAATCTTCAAAGTAAATAAATTTTGAGGTTTTTTTGTTTAAAATAAATTATATTGTAGTTTTTAAGGAAATAGGGTTTTTTAAGATTCGGTAAATTTCCAATATTTAAAAATTGAATTCAAGTAATAATAAGGAAAAAAGTAAGTTTTAAAATTCGTTAGAATTTAAATTGTCTTAATTTAAACAAGAAAACTAAAACTTGACTTATTGAATTTTCTAAAAAACATAATTTACTTAATATTCATTTTCCTATATTAAATTTTAATTTCCTTCTTATAAATATTCTATTTCTTTCAAACATAAAGATTGTATAAAAAAGTCTAAAATTTCAAATTTTGAAGGTATTTTATAAACTTCTTCTTTATTTTAGAAACTATGATTTAATTAAATATTTATTTCAAATGTATTTTTATTAGAAGAAATTAAGTTTTTTTTTTAGTTTTTTTAAAATATAATTTTAAATGTATTGAAATGCTTTAAATATAATTTAACTATTAAATATTTGCCTAAATCGATTTCGTTTTAGAAATCGTCGTATTAACTACTTTTTAGTAATCCTATTAATTTCTAGGTATATGAATCAATTTAAAAAATATCTAAGAAACATTCAAAAGCATCTTTTATGTTTTAAAAAAGAGAAATTATACAATTTTCAATTGTAGAAATATATTCTTCAATATTTTTTTAAAATTGATTATCAAATTCGACAACATATTAAAATTTTTATTAAGAAATATCATTTAATTATAAAGAATTATATAATAAAATATTAATATAATCTATAAATTCATTTAATTATTATATATAATGTTAGTTGCTATCCATTCTACTAGCAAAACTCTAAAGAACAAAACATATATATATATATATAAATAAAAATAAAAAAAATATATATATATAAATTAAAATATATATATATAAATATATTTAAATATGCCTAATTATATAAAATAATTCTTATATATAATTATATATATATATATATATATATATATATATATATATAATATAAAAAAAATATAAATATATATATTGAAAATTTGTCGTTTTCTAAACCGAAAATTAGAATAGAAATCACAATTTTTTCCTGTTTTTCCCAAAGTGCGTTTTCTAGTATTTCATTGAAAAAATTTTAGATATTGTTTTCCCGCTTTAATATATTATTTTACAACAAATAATTCATTATAAAATTATTGCCAAAAACATTATTTTATTATACAATTTGTATTATTTTTTCTTAAAAACTAACACTATTTTTAATTAATTCATCCTTTTTTTCCCATATATATTCGAATATCTCTATTTTTTAACTAATTAATGATATATATAAGTGCTTTTCTTATAATTAGATATCTTAAATTGTTTATATTATGTCTAATTTTCCTTTATATACTAAATAATCTACAAATTCTACTTCTAAACTTTTTTATTTTTCTTAAAAAAAATTCCTTAAGGCTTACTTACACCTATTTACCTAAATAGGTATATTTTTATTTATTAATTGATATTCAAAAGCCTTTAAAATTGCATTTTTATTAAATTTATTTACATAAAATTCAATGCAATTTTTCTCTACATAACCGTAACTTTTTTAAAAAGGAATTTTTTAGAAATCAACTTTAAGAAGTTTAAATATTTCCAAGAGTGATTAAAAATCACTTTTTTAGTGAATTTTTATAAATATCTAATGAATTTATTAAATTAAATATAATTTAAAATCTTAATTTTATAAGATTATATCTTTATGATTTTATATAAGAAACGAGAAATATAAAATATTGATGTTTTAGTCTTTATTTTTAGGTTATATAAAATTTAATTATTACTAGTTTTTTTTATAAATATTTTAAATTAAAATTAAAAATTATTAAAAATTCTGGAATGTTTTTGTGCTTTTTTTATTCAAAAATACGTATTTAAATAACTAGTTTATAAGGAAATAATTAGTTTAAAAATCTTCCGAATTTTTTATTATTTATTCTAGAAAATTTAAACCTTTTTCGAAGTTTAATTGGAATAAAAAAATACAGGAAATTTCGGTAATTTTATTTATTTTATATTTTTGTATTTTTTATAAACAAATTTCTATTATTTAATCTAAATTATTTTCTTGGCTTTTTTTCGTATAAAAAATAAAATAAAATAAAAATAATAATATTTATTTACTCTTCGAAAATATATTGTCTTTCTAATAAATTTTAAATCTTATGTATTTATTTTTATAAATCAATGTCTATATATATTTTATTTAAATAAGTATTTTAATTAATATATATTTTTCCAATAATAGCTCTCTCTAATGCTATTTATAAATATTTATCATATTTTTATATTAAAAATTAAAATTTGTTTAAATGTCCGTTTATAGAAATACTACCAAAAATAAAATTTAATTATTCTTCTTTAAAATTTAATTAAAAAGCCATTTTTTAAAAACCTTCATTAGATATTTATATATGTAAAGGAATTTATTTTTATATTTCTTTATTTAATTATTTTTCCTAAAAATCATTATTATGTATTATTTAAGAAGGTATTTTAATATCATAATAGGTAAAAATCATCAAAATTAAATATTTTATTTCTTCGCATTAATTTTTTTGGCTTTATTAAAGTATTTTTTTAAAAATTTTAATATCACTCCAAATTTTATTCTATTGAAATATTTTTTTTTTCTTTTTTTCTTTTTTTAAGTTTATTTGATTTTCCTTATATTAAAATAATCTTTTTGTATTTTTATTAAAAAAAATTGTCTTTCTTATTCCTTTAGCAATTATGTTCTATATAAAAATTATTATAATATCCTTTATATATATTCTCGAAATGATTTTGGGAAAAAATGTTTTCTTTTTGGTATATTTCTAAAAGTAAATTCTTTAAAAAAGGGCTTATTTCTTTATTTTTACCAAAACTCCAAAAAAATACTAAAAAAAATATTTAATAGTAAATTAATTTAAATTCTAATCATTTTGAATATATTCATTTATTTTTTAACAAATTTTAAATATAAAATTGTTATTATTTTCTGTTTCTGTGATTATTTTTTTAGAAATTATATATAAGATGTCTATATTTAGTAATTTCTATATATATTATTAATTATTGTATTAAAGTACTATTTTTTATATTAAATTTTCAAATAATTCATATTATTATTAATAAAAATCAAAAAGTTAAATATTATTAGATATAAACAAGAAATAAAATTCGAAATTATCTCTGTCATTATTTAATATATATTTTCCATAAAAATTAAATAGATTAACCATTTATTAGTTTTATTTTTCATTTTTTTAATCTATAGAGTATTTTTTACATATAAAAAGAATTTATTTATGGTATTTTAGATATAAAATAGTTGATATTTTGTAGGAATTTTCTTCGTTTTTTTCAAAAGATTTTACAAAATTTAAATCTTCTAATTAAATTTCTTCATATTTATTTAAAAAAGCTTATAATACTAAAGGTAGATTTTTTTAGAAGATAACAAAATTTTAATTTAGGACATCTTTTTTATTACTTTATTGGAAAAGTTCGAAAATCTCCAAAAATTTATTTTCGCTTAAAATTATTGAAATCAATTTTCCTTCGTTATTTATTAGTTTTAAGAATAATTATATATAAATGTCTTCAGTTTATTCAAGTTATTTTATTAACTTTTTATTTTAAATATTAAATTTTATTCGAAATTAATTCATTTTTTCACCTAAAATAAGTATTTTTATTATTTTTTTTATATTTTTTTAGTAAAAATCAATATTTTAAATATTATTAAAATCCAATAAAATCAAATAAATTCCCTTTATTTTTTCAACAATTTTTAATAAATAATCTCCGTCTTTATAATAATCTAAAACATATCTAAAAAAAATATAATTAAACTCCTTTATTTTCCCCAAAAGACTATCTAAAACATTTGTTTCTATTTTTTTATTCGAAATAATATATTCTTTATAAAAGAACCTATTTAATAAGCCTAAATGGGATTTATTTAAATTTTAGAAGTCTTAAAGTTATCTAT